CGAAACCTTTGGTTTAAGAGGCATGAAGGGAGGAGTTTTAATAGAAAACTTGTGTAGCATTTTTATAAAAACCCGGGGAGTGAGTCCAAATGGCCAGACACCAAGCTTTGGTAGCAGTAAAATGGCAACCCGATGCAGACTGATTAGATCAGCCTTTCATTCAAGACCTAAACGCTTCACTACACACGTCTTTGCTAGTTTCCTAACATTCATAGAAACATTTTAATATTTAGATTTAGGTTTACCCAGGCAGACTGCTTTCTTCTGAACATCTGTAATAGAAATGAGGCATTTATTGCATCGTTTATCATGAAATTTTAAAATGACAAAATATCATTTTAACTCTATATCGCCCACTACTAATCAGTACCTTGAAGGTTTTAGCTGAAGTTTACATTAACAGATTGCTCTAAGTGGCTCTGATTTTACTCAATAAACCCAGATTATCTCAGTGCCAAACTGGAAATGATCTCCCCACTGCTTTCTAATCAGGGATAATTGTTTGAGAGAAGGGAATAATTGAACCATGTGTCTCTTTCAGTCTGGCCTGTATGTGTCACTCCTTCCATTACGTTAAGAGACTCCTGGAGACCCTGTTTGTCCATCGCTTCTCTCATGGGACGATGCCGTTACGGAACATCTTCAAGGTGAGATTCTCTAAAAACCCGGCCTGATGTTACCACACATTTATGTTCCCATTGCAAAAACACCCTCACTCCGTTTCAGAATTGCACCTACTACTGGGGCTTTGCAGCATGGATGGCTTATTACATCAACCATCCACTATATACACCACCCAGTGAGTATTTAGACATGATGTTTACTTATGCAGACCACCATGACGCTCCTCTTTGGTTCTAATGTTTTTAATCTCTTTCAGTTTATGGAGAACAGCAGATCAGGCTGGCGCTCATCATATTCCTGGTAATTACTGTTCCTCATTGTAGAATTACTTATTATGGTCTGTACAGTTCTAAACCGTTGTTTACATTCACCCAGATTTAACAGCAATGACAAATATTATGGATTTATTTTTGCTTTAACTAGCTGGACTGAAAATGAAAATCCTCAGCTCAAAATTAAACGTGTGAATTTTCAGAGTTATACTTGCAGGCTATAAAATCAACCACCAATCCCTGTATTTGTTTTTAGTTTTTTTTTTTTTATCCTTTATTAGCAGTTTTTTAGCTGCAGAGGACACAATGACGTCACAACCAAGCGAAGCATGCTCTGTGTTTACGGAAGAAAACATGGATAGTAGTGCTGGAGCCCATCTAGCGATCTTTCCCAACCTTAAAAACTCTCTTTGCCATGATTGTTGTTTTCTTCCCGCTCCTGAAAAGCAAGACGCAGAATGGTGACCCTTGTTGAGTATTAATGCCGTTCAGATCGGATGAATGCGAACTGCTCGTTCAGACACAGGCGGTCATGAAAAGATCAGACCCAGGACGCATAGGGGCAAAAAAAAGAGGATTTGGGTCACTTCAGGCTGCAGTGCGAATGTAGCCTATGTCTTTGATCTCATTACATTTAAGAAGAGGAGATTGACTCTCACTCCAGCCCTTTAGGGGGCAGTAGTGCTTAAAGTGGGTTTGCAGTGAAACGGAAGAGGAGAGAAAGGGTGCAGCTAGTGCACAGATCCATGCACACCATTAAAAAACAGCATTTTCCCAGACAACAGTAAAGTCCAGCAACTAGAAAGAGGATACTAGTTGGTGCAAAGGAAATGTTTGGTGCGGGGGAGGGTCACAATTAAGATTTTTTAAAATTGCAGTACCAGGCCAGAATTAAAAGCTTATTGATGAACAGGGGATGGTCTGTTTTAGGTGATATTATGTTTTGTTTGTTTTTTTTCCATTCTGCTTTATAACCTCTACATCCACTCGCCTCTAACTAAATGCTCTCCACCACAGTTCTGCCAAATCGGGAACTTCTCCATCCATATCGCCCTGCGGAACCTCCGCCCTCCAGGTCAGCACATCTGTCACTCACACTGAGCACATTTCAGACAACAGTCAATAAAAATATTGGAGTAGATACCTGAAAGTCAATAATGATGAAATTAAATATAAGTATTTCCTGTGTCTTGTCATCTTATTCATAGATGTGACATTAGGTGTTCTCATAACTTCTAAACTTGTGTTCTCCCTGGAGAAACATTTTTATAATTACGACTTTGCAACAATACAAACTGACGAGTGCCCCTAAGTGGTAAGCGGGGGGATAACTGCTTCAAAGGTGTAGATCTGTATGTGTAGATTTACACATAAATTTGGGATTTGTATTGTACTGTATTGTTGCCGTACATTTATAAAACCAGATGCAGTTATCCTACCTCATTGATTTCTCTCTGGAAATACATATTTAATCAACAACATAGTAAAATCTTCAGTTCATCTGTTTTTTGTTTAACAATTTTTATAATTTTTGCTAACGTACCAGATTTATTTATTTGAGAAATGAGCATGAAGCTGGTTTAAACTTTTTAATGATGATGTTTCAGCTTAATTGTTTTTTTTATGATCCTATCTATTCAATTGTTTTATTATAGCGAGTTTGTTAGCAAGTATTCTGTAATAATTGAGCCATTCATTAGCAACATAATATTCATAGACTGTTAGACCTGACTACAATAAAAAGAATAAATAAATAAAATAAGGGGAACAAAATCTAGTTTTTTTTTTCCTTTTAGAGGCAAAGCTGACATAATTTTGAACCACCCAAAAAAGAAGTGGATCAGTAATGATATGTCGTATTAATTTCCTCTCCTTGTACTTCCAGGCTCCAAAACCAGGAAGATTCCCTATCCAACCAAGAACCCCTTCACCTGGATCTTCCTTCTAGTCTCCTGTCCCAACTATACCTATGAGGTAACAATGTCTTTTTTAGAATGTGGCTTTAAATCATTCATGTCAATGGAGGATCATTGCAGTAAGTCCATACTGTCTGCTAAATGTGGTCATAGTATAAGTAGAAATGTTCAATAAATAAAATCACAGAAGTCATCAGTATATGACAATATTAAAGGACTGCTAGGGTGCAATATTTAGTAATGCAAGGCTTTATTGTCTCTTCATTTACCTGCTTGATGATTCAAGTTTAATGGTTGAAATCCTAAAGCTCATGGGCAGCCAGAGAGCCTAAAAGCCTCCGTAGATTAGTTTTTGCAAGATCAACAAACTGCTCATTTTTTTATTTATTATTAAAAACATTGTGACGCCATCTAGTGGTCAGTTAAGTCCAAACATGCCCTCGTTTTGCATTATCATCCAATTTAGCATGTGTGGTGGCAAAAAGGATGCTAAGCAGTTTTTTATATATATAAAAAACTAAATTAATTCAAGGAGTAAGATGTTTATTTTTGTTTTTTAACTGAGTCTTAAAGTTGATTGATTTACAAGCCAAAGAAAATACAGTAGATAAAGAATAACTAGATAAGGAATGGTGGTTTTGTTCTTTTCCATAGTTTCCTAGCTCATTCATCTTTGTTGCTGTTGACGGTTTTGTCACAAACACCAGGCTTTTTTTCCTTAGTTGTGTATTTTTACGTTATCATTTAGAAGTAATGAGCCAGTTATGACAATATAAAGATAAGAAACAGTGACAAATTATTTGTCCTTTATTACTCCCAACCTCCAATCCAGATTGTTACTGAATAGATGTAATTGATAGCTCTGGATAGTTTACAATTGTAAAGTAAATGTGTGGACAGAAGATTCCTGGAAATGTGTAATGAAATGAAGAGCAGCCCAATGGTAAATTTTCCATTTAATTGTTGACTTTAACAAACAAAATTATCCAGAAATGTTGCTGAATAATCTAATCTCATCTCAAGTAAAATGTCAAAGAAGTAAAAGCTTGAATTGATGCCCAGGTTTACTGGACATATCTATCAGAGACATAATTAAATTTTTTTCACCATGGAAAATACAAGCTAACTTCTGTTGGTCTGAACGCATTTGGTATCTGACGAGTTTTCGTCCCTCTGCAGCTGGGCTCCTGGCTCGGCTTCACCCTGATGACCCAGTGTCTGCCGGTGGCCTTCTTCACCATGGTGGGTTTCATCCAGATGACGGTCTGGGCCAAAGGGAAGCACCGCAGCTATCTGAAGGAGTTTAGAGACTACCCACCTCTCCGCTCGCCCATCCTGCCCTTCATCTTGTAGATCCAGTTCCAGCTGAGCTTTTCTCTAAACCCACTGCTAGATTTAGACCAAGCTTGACCTCTCCCCGTTTCTCTCCCTGCTCTAACTTCCTGCTGTGTTGAGTAAAACTAAAACACTAGTTTAGTTATTGTATTGCAGACAGTTCTGATTGGTTTTAGTTTTCTTTTTCTCCCCCCAAGTATCTACTAAAATCTGCTGTAAATTATGCAAAGGCTCCATTTTTACTGCCTCTCATTGCAGCTCTGGTGTTTTTGTCTTCATCTGCTGATATTAATAATCTCTTTAAACTCACCCTTAATTGCTGAAGAATCTTAAATCTGAAACTGACAGAATGATGTTTTGTTGTCTGAGGTAATTTATTAAAAAAATCAAAACAAATCAAGCCGTCTGATCTCATCCTGTTCTATATGAATATACTTATCTCATTCTGTGGATCCAATCTTTTAAGATATTCACACACACAAAAACAGCCATGGGTCGTATAGAGCTTGATCTATATTGTTTAATGTGGACAACAGCAGATGTATATACAAAGAAGTACAACCAGATGGTTTCCTGATCATGCAGCTTCTGCTTTGGCCTCAATCCTCTTCTTCCTCAGCTGGAGCCTCCTCTCCCTCTCGTACTCCTTCATACGCATCACATAACTGGAGAAAGGAAGCACAAATGTAGAGACCATAATAGAAATTACAGCAAAAAGAAGCCATGGTGAAAGAGGCCTGCAACAACTGAATATGTTTCCGAATAGCACGGAAGGAAGGATTGTAGAGTTTGGTCATAAAATGGAGGCAACTATCCCCCTAACATTGACCGTTACAGGGTGGCTGGTCAGTTTATAGCAGTTTAGGGGAGATCTTAATTATTAAGTGTGACTTGAATTTTTGCCTTGCAGTTTAAAACAGCATCATAGCGATCCTTTCCACATAAAATGTCTACCGCTGAACACTTACTCTTGGTGCTCACAGTAGTCCCAGTCGTGCCTCTCATGTTTGCAGGCCAGGAAGTTGGGCCAGTTGTCCCTCTTACACTTCATGAGCTTCAGAAGGTGGTGTGCACAGTAATCTCTCTGGCCAACAGGCAGCTGGGCCAAGTTCATCTGTTCCTGGGACGCAATCATCTCTGAAAACGGCACAGAACTTTCAGTCCTCCAGGGAGGCTTTAAGCTGACCTTGTTGGACAATTTAAATACCAACATAGCAAAACAACTATTGTAAAAGACTTTCAATAGTTTAATACTGTATAGATCAGATCAATTTTATTTAGCAGATGAATAAAACCACTTATGATGATGTGGTACCAACAGAGAACCAATCCTAAAACTCATGTGTTTTCATCACAATGTTATTAGAGGATAATACAATTTACAATTAAAACATCCTGGGTTCATTGAATAACCTAAATGCTAGGCTATAGTTAACTAATTTATTGACTCTAGTTTCTCTATTACAATGCATTTTACTGTAACAATTGTATGTTCTGGAAACAAAACAAATGAGCTATTTTACTGACAGTCATGTAGATGTGGTAAAAAAAAAGTTAAATAAGCATAGCATCAAAACATCTCACATCTCAAGTTGAATTGTTATTAAAATATATATATATATTTTTTTTTACATTTTTTTACCAGACTGAATTGACTTTATAGTTGTGACACACTTAATGATTAATGAATAATTGAAATAATTGTCAATTTAGTAATAGATTAGTTAACTGGAGCAATAGAACCTTTTTTGTCTGTCAATATGCTCTGACCAGAGATCCCAGAGAAGCAAAGTTTTAGTTTTGCCTGGTTTAATTCTTTTTAAAAAATCTTTAAGGAACCTTCTGCTATCCGATGATTAACCGATTAATCAGAAAAATTATTGACAGATTAATCGATTAACAAAATAATTTTTAGCAGCCATAAAATTAATAAATATTAGTAAATGGTGACTGTAAGGACAGTGGATCTTTTATGAATTTCTTTTTATATGAATTGATCTTTAGGCCTTCATCTGAGACTGAAGTCAGAATTGAAAAAATTGTTTATGTAACAAAGCTCTTACTCAAAATGTTTGCTTTGTTACTTTAAAAATGAACAAAAGGGACTGTAGTTAAGGATATGGACACATTATATTTAAACTTTGGTATTTAACAATAAAAACAACTTTATGAAAAGAAATCTATTTGTCACATATCATAAATCTATGATAAACAATTCTATTGAAATGATAAAAGCAATATAAAGACTTTTTTAAGTAAGTTTTTATAAACTATTTATAGAACTAAAAATGCCTTGTTTTTTTTTAAATTATTATTATTTAAGAAATAGAAGAAAAAAAAGAACTAAAAATGCTAAACTTGTTTTTGCTTTGGGTTCCAAATATACTAAAACACACCATCCCAACTAGCTCTGAATGATTTAGCAAAAAAAAAATCCAAATTCTGATCTTTTTTAATGCGACCTTATATCAGTTTCCTTTGCACTAACCAAAAGCTTGTAGATGTTTCACCCCAGTTTTTATTGAAAACTTGCTTCCACATTATGCATGGATCTACATGCCAACTGCAACTCTATAGAAAACCCACTTTAAGCTCATTACCACCACCTAAAGGCCTGGAGTGAGAAATATGTCTTACTCTTGTTAATTGTAATTAAGCTTAAGTGAGTACCTCTGTGATATGAACATTTAATTTTGTGAAATTGCGATTATATTGCAAATGCAATCACTTCCCCAGCCCTAATCCAAAATAATGGCCTCAGTTTAGCAGATTTAGTAGAGTAACTCATTAAACTAAGATTAATTATCCTAAGAAACAGCTGTGATTTACCTGTACTTTTATTGTGTTTTTCCCCTCCTTATTTTAATATCATAAATTACTACATAACTTATTGAACAAACCATTAAAAGTAACATTCTTGCCTATGCGTTAAAAAAAATATAAAACATTAAGTAGTGGCATTTTCATCAAAATTCTTTCCAGCAAGTCAACAAAGTAAAATGATTCATAAACGTCCATACTATAAAACTGAGCTGATGGTGGTTCCCTTAATATCTAGATAACAAATTCAAGCTTCTGTCATTTATTAATGTATTTTTGACAGACATTTGAAAAATGTTCATTTTTAGAAACTATAAATCAAGTCTAAATGTATGATTTTAAAGTTTGGGATAAGGTTAACTCTTTACCTACCAATGCTAAAAATGTCAATTTTTAGATTTTTTTTTTTTTTTTTTTCAGCAATGGCTGTAAAATGGCAAAGAAAAGTCTAAAATCTAAATGATTTGGTTCTTCTTAATCATGAGAACTTTAACAAAGAAAAAAAAACATTTGGGATTTCAAAAAATTATTTTTGTGGAATCTTAGTAATTTTGTGTAAGTCTAATAACTGCTGTAAAATTTATCTGAAAATCTGAATACATTTCGATGTTTTTTATTATAAACATATTTAATTTTTATTTTCTCAAACTTTAACTACATAATTGTAAAGAAAATCTAAATAATAATCCTAACATGATGGATATTTTAATGTAAGCTTAACTCACACTTTATATTTTAATATTTGTTGTGCTTTGTTTTTCATCAGTATTGTTACCAATATTATTTTTTTTAAGTATCCTACTGCTCTTTAAATGTAACTTCCAGCTGGATATATGCTGGACTATTATAAAGCAGAGAATATTCCCATTAAATAGGTAAATACAGGTGTTTGGGTCATATGCTAACATTTAGCATTTAGCACAGGCCAGCTTCGTTCAGGTCTCTGAGGCTACATTAGCCAAAGCTAACCCACACAAAATTACGTCAAATTGCACTGAGACTGAAACAACAGTTTAACGGCTGCAGCCCAGATCAATTTCAACCCGGTCGCTGCTCACCGACCTCTCTCTTTCCTCTCCCCGAAGCCGAAATCAGGGTCGAACTCGAACTTCTTGGCAGGGTCCGGCTCGGTGTCCGTTTGGGTCACGTACCGCCTGACCAGGTTAGCGCCCATGGTAACGGTGATGCTAGCAGCCCTGAAGGGTGATACGCACTTATCACTGACTGCTTCTGTTTGGTAGGAAAAACTCAAATGTTTACAGAAATATTCTGCTGTCTGCCATTCGGTCACCTCCACAAGCCCCTGCCTCCACTTCCGGTTTCCTGAGCGAATCAAGGTAACTAAAAATGCTTTACCGCCATCTACAGGACAGGGAGGCAAACTGGCAAAATAGGCACCAGCCTACTGTGGATGGATGGATGGATGGATGGATGGATGGATGGATGGATGGATGGATGGATGGATGGATGGATGGATGGATGGATGGATGGATGGATGNGATGGATGGATGGATGGATGGATGGATGGATGGATGGATGGATGGATGGATGGATGGATGGATGGATGGATGGATGGATGGGTAAAACAGTGGTAGCTATTTAATGGAATAACACCAAATTACAAGAAATAAGTAACAATAAGTATGTAGATGGTTTTAGGAGCTATTTTCAATAAATTTTTTCTTAGATAAAATTCCCTACCTAATAAAACATCAATAACCTACATTTTATTAGAGCTGTCTTGGTTTCATTCATTAAATCATAAAACTGCATGGAAACAGGTAAACAATTTCCACTGGAAATAATTTATTCTAGAGAAATAAATAAACAAAATATATATCTAAATATAGATCTTGGGATGTCTCTGTAGCAATTTTTACTTTAGGTCAGTCATTTAAGAGTAACAGAGAAGCTTGTTAAAAATAATTCTGTGCACATGTGAAGTTCATATTTTTTTACAACTTTAAATTCTTATTTGGATTTATAGTTTAAAATTGGTTACATTTACTTATTTTTTTTAGTTGAGGTATGTCCAGGAAAAAGTAAGTTTAAGACAACTACTTAAACACAAAATAAAAATAGTTTCCACAGAAAAACAAACTTCCTTCCATCTAATTACTACTGTGATCATAGACCAATTATAACAAATATGGTAAAAACAAACTCTTGCAGCATTCAAGTCATTTTATTTATACACACAATTAACAACACATCATTTCAAGGAGGAAATTCAACCAGACCATACAGTCAAATTCATTCAAAGTTTTCTATCTAAGGAAAACCAGCTGATTGCATCGACTCATTGACACAAAGGCAATCCCTCACACCAAGCATGCTTGTAGCGACAGTGGAGAGGAAAACTTCCAGAAACTTCCAGCAGAACCAGGCTCAGTGTGAGCAGCCACCTGCTGAGGCCAACTGGGGTTCAAGGAGATAGAAGCAGGAAGCAGACATAGAAAAAGAAGCAGCGATACAAAAGTTAACTGTAAACCAGCTCCACAGGCGACCCCTGCAGGAAACACACAGCCAGGCAGACGAGCTCCGAACCAGCTCTCATGTGAGAAGATGAAGAGAGCACATCCTGCCAGTCACAGTCAGAGAAACAGGACTACACTGGAAAACAGGCCGACCTCGAACACCTATATACAAAGGTGTTGATGGCAGCAGCAGGCGGATGCTATCAAAGGTATTTTATATACTTATCACAATAGGACATCTTGACATCATCCATACAAAACAGATGATAGAGCTTTTCTGCAATGGAGAGACATGGCCCCAAAAAGCTCCTCTGCATAAAAAAAAGAAAATAATTAACCAATCTGTTTTGAAAAAGAAAATAATTGTGTTTTTTCGATTTATATAAATTTTATTTTTACTATTATTTTTGGTTTTAAAATTTAATGAAATATAATATATATAAAATAAATATAATAAATTGCTCCTGCTTCAAGTTTTTTTTCTTGGAGCCAGCTACTAAATGGTTCTTTAGTTTCAGAAAGTATTTATCAAAATATTAAATACTATTTAGTACCAGCTCCATTTTCATAATAGTCTTATAAAGAGGTTGTTAAATGTCTTTTAAAAGGTACTTGAAATTTTTTAGTGAGTCATTTTCTGGTTGGATTACTTTTAAACATAACATCTTTGTGATAATGTCTCATCATAAATACAACATTTTGTGTAAAAGAACCAAAGAGCCACATCATTTGGTTTTGATGTAAGCATCAACATTTGTATTATTTCCACATAAATTATTTCAAGATTTGTCCTGCATGAAAAATTATTCTTAATGCAGAACAGCTGATGACTGAACAGAAGTCCAGTTCAATACAGGCAATAAATCAATATTTATTCTAAACTAAAAGAAAAAGAAAAGAAAAGACAGTATTTTGTAAAATATCTTTCTTTTCTTTCTGTCTTATGTATCAGTAACATGTTTAGACAAACAGTTGTTAATCCCCAGTGTTTTGTCACTAATAGAACCAAAGCATCATCATCATCATCACTGGTAGAGATCTTCATCCCCTTCCTCTCTGTACAGACTCGGCCTCTCTGATGTAGAACCTGACCCCTGACCCCCGGATCGGGTGCCGGTAGCAGATGGAAATCTGGAGGAAACAAGCAGAAGTTAGAAATCTGGAGCAAAATGAAAACCAAAGTCAGTTGTCTGTGGCTGCTTTTTCTAACCTGAAGTTCCCGAAACCTCGGCTCTGCTGCAGAGTCTGAGCAAACATCTCATATTTGCGGATGTCGTTGTCACTGACAGACCGGCGGGCAAAGCGCATCGCCTCTTCAAAGTGGTCCTTCCTGATCTCTGGGACCGGATCGAAGTCCTCGTCCTATAAAGGGATAAACAGATGTGTATTGGGTAGCTAGAGCTGTGTTCCTGTGGGTTCACAGTACAGAGGATGAAGGTCCTTCATCTTATCTTTCACAGCTTGTGTCTGCACCAAGGACACACAGCATAGCCCTGCATAGAGCCGTGACTTTGTTAAGATTAAAAGCAGTTTTAGATACTAACTGACTGAGTTTAACTAAATGTGATGTAGAGATAAAAGAAGAGCAGCTGGGATGTCTGACCATGGGGATTCCTGGTCTGCTCTGCCTCTGACGCTCAGCCTTAATCTCAGCTTCGATGGCCTCACGGATGGCCAGCTTACAAGCTCGCTGGCAGATCTCTGTCAGGTCAGCTCCGGAGAAACCCTCAGTGATGCCAGAGAGAAATTCTAGATCCACATCCTGCAGATAGAAAATCCACCAAAAAAACAAAAAACAATGAAGAGCAGGAAAAAGAATCCACCGCACTGCACAGAGACTGAAACTTTACCTTGGTTTGCTTTTGGAACAACAAATTTCAAAGGACCACTAACTTAGAACATGAGCACAGAGCTTGGATTGGACCAGTAATTAAATATTACTATCTTTGCAGTTTTACTCTAAAACGATCTAAAAAAAAATGTAGCTGGGATTGTTCTTTTTGAATCAGGAAACTCAAACCAGGCTATAAAGTTCACACCCCCTGAACCATTTCCAACCATTTCACATTATAGCCACAAGCGGAGCAAGACAGGAGGAACAGCTGAAGCTGTAGGCTTTGCTTTGTGCAGGAGGTCTGGAGCGCAGCGGGGCAGAGACGGAGGATGTGGGATTTCGGGGTTAAACACTGTCGTCGGACAACATGCAGTAATTTATAAATGTTTTATATCAGGTTGGGTTAGGATTAGCCAGCAGGTGGATCTGCTAATCCATGACCTCTGGACTACACCATTCTAACACATGGATATGCTTTTATTTGAGAGCTTTTATTACGGCGGCAGGTTTAGGGCCGTCGTCCTGTTGGAAGATGAAGGCCTTTGCCTAACAACTTCTTCCTTTCTTCTTTCTTTAAAGAACAAACCCCCACAGCATTATACTGCCACAACACAGTTTTGCTTTTAGGTCAAAAGGTTAAATGTTGGTGTAATCTAATCAACGCTCCACATGTTTGTTGTTTCCCTTCTATGGTCAACATCTTACAGTTTTCCTTTGCACATTACTGATTGATCTAGCAATTAAAAACATTGTTCCAGTAGGACAACATGTAAAAAAAGTCTGAGGGGTGTGAACACTTCTAATACAAAAAATAGGATAATATTATGATGAGGGGTATTTTTTAGTTAAGATTGACTATGTTATGTTCATCAACAGCACTTATTTAACATTTTGTCCCTTATTTAACTGCAGAAACCTGAGAGGGAAATTAATCAGCTGAGAAATGTGCCGCTGCTTTTCTTACTCTTGCAATAGGTGATTTGCGCAGATTGGCTTTAAGAATCGCTGTGCGAGAAGGTTTGTCGGGAAGCGGGATGTAGATGAGCTGATCCAGACGGCCTGGCCGCAGGATGGCTGGGTCTATGATGTCCGGCCTGGTATATGGGGGGGAGGGAAATCAGCCTGGATTTTCATCTCTTTACATTTAATCAGAGCAGGCATGCACAAAGGCGGCACCTGTTTGTGGCACCGATGATAAAAACATTCTTTTTGTCTGACATGCCGTCCATCTCAGTTAGAATCTGGTTGATGACTCTGTCGGCTGCACCGCCGGCGTCCCCCGCCCCCCCTCCTCTGGACTTGGCAATGGAGTCCAATTCATCAAAAAACAAGATGCAGGGGGCTGCCTGTCTGGCCTGCAGAGAGAAGGAACATGGCAGAAGGGCAACAAACAAAGCTCTAACCATAAATCAATTCATTTTCCTGCTATAAACTCCTCACCTTATCAAACACATCTCTGACGTTGGCCTCGGATTCACCAAACCACATGGTGAGCATCTCAGGCCCTTTGATGGACACAAAGTTAGCCTGACACTCGTTGGCAATGGCCTTCGCCAGGAGCGTTTTCCCGCAGCCCGGAGGCCCGTAGAACAGAACCCCACGAGACGGCGTCATCCCAAACTTCAGGAACTTGTCAGGGTACTCCACTGGATACTGAGGACATTAATATGAACATAGATGGATGGTTTAAGGGAGATATGGCTTTGGTTGTCACATAGATTATGCGGCCAGTGTTTCCTCCACCTGAACAAGCTCCTGGAGCTCTCGCTTGACCTCGTTGAGACCACCAATGTCCTCCCAGTTGACCTGAGGAACCTCTGCAACTGTCTCTCTGAGAGCCGATGGGTTGCTTTGACTCAGCGCCCACTAAACGAACAGCGGTTAAGAGGATTATTACCAAAACAATTAAAGAAAATACCATAAAATGTTAAACCTTCATTGAGTGTTTTATATTTTTATATACGTTTTGATCAAACTTTCCCTTTATCTCCTAATTTGACAGGAGGTTTATTCCAGGTATTCAGGTGTATAATGGTATGTATAAGCCTTTGACTGTTTTTTTCCCTCCATTTTCTAACCAGTGATTTTAACTGACTGAGGCTAAAGAGGTTACCGTATGATGAATCATCTTTGGTGACATTTTCATAAATAATGCAGTGAAATGTTGTGTTTGAGCCAGATTTATAGATTTGTTTCTCTGAAATTAATTGCTGGCCAAGTAGTTAGAGCAGAGGGTGTTTGAGACCAAAGAAGGCTTCCATTTCCCCGGTTTGAGTCCTAAAGACCTGCAAAACTGGCTCCTTGAGCAAGAAGCAGAGGGTGTTTGAGACCAAAGAAGGCTTCCATTTCCCCGGTTTGAGTCCTAAAGACCTGCAAAACTGGCTCCTTGAGCAAGAATATCTTGATTCTCCCTCGACTAACACAGTGGGAGCACATTACTCCCTGACGGATGGGTTAATCACAGAGGACATATTGCATTGAAAGTTTCAGAATATCTATTAAAAGAACAGATGATTATCATTAAAGATCCAAAACCCAAATGGCTTCATCAGTCAGCTCAAGTTGCCAAACAAAGAACACACTAGTTAAACAAAATTGGTCAAGTACTGTTAGGGAAATAAATCATAATAGCATCAAAACTCCACTAAGAATTTCAAGAAGGCTGAGGAAGAAGTTTAGCTCAGTGGGGTAAAAAAGAAATACAGAAATAAGGATAAGTCCAGCCTTTTACACAGATCTAAGGCATTTGAACACACAGCATAAGGGTTTTGACTATTTACTTGGAAGTCGTCCATGGTGACAGCCAGAGAGTTGAGCAGGTCGGCATCGATGGTTTCGTCCTCCAGATCGATGAGCGTCATCTTCTTGCGTATTGCTTGCAAAGCAGCTTCTGAGCACAAAGCAGCCAGGTCGGCGCCAACGTGTCCATGTGTTTCCATGGCGATCTGAGACACACAGAAACTTCAGACAAGTGACAGCATGCATACTTTGATGCTATTTGCATGGAAGAAGTACATTTTATTCAAAGGAATATGTGATTTTAATAGTGGAACAAACAAATTAAATCGCAAAACAATGTGTGTTAAATTTTCCTGTGAGTCAACTCTGTGAAAGAATGTAAAGGTTTTACTTTTATCTTGAGTTTGTTAAATGAATAATCTCTATAGCTTTTTGGTTGTAAAGAAACATAATAAAAAACAAAGGCCAAACTTTTTTATTTAGACTTTATGTAAAAATTCAATGCAATGGGGGGCAAAAAAGTAGAAATAAAATGTTCTTCAAAAAATGTTTAATGAATATTTTATTTAAAGATGTTGGAGCTCTACCTGTTTTTCAGTGTAGTCCTGTTTCTCTGACTGTGACTAACTGTATGTGCTCTCTTTCATCCTCTGACATGTGAGCTGGCTCGGAGCTCATCTGGCTGGCTGTGTCTTTCCTAGATAGGGGCGCCTGTGGAACTGGTTTACAGTTGCCTTTTGTATCTCTGCTTTTTTCTACATGCCTGCTTCTGTCTCCTTGAACCCCAGTCGGCCTCGGCAGATGGCTGCTCACACTGAGCCTGGTTCTGTTGGAGGTTTCTACCTTTTAAAAGGGAGTTTTTCCTCTCCACTGTTACTACAAGCATGCTTGGTGTGTGAGGGGTTGCTGCCGAGTCAATGAATCGATGCAATTAACTGGTTTTCCTTAGATAGAAAATTTTAAAACAATTGTCTCTACTAAGTGCCTTGAATTGAATGTAACCTAAACTGCAGCTGCTCACCTTCTCCAGATCGACATCATCTGCTAGTTTCATGTTTTTGGTGTGGATCTGCAGGATCTCCAGTCTGCCAGTGGAATCGGGGATCCCGATGTCGATCTCTCGATCAAACCTGCCTGAAGAGGAGCAGGGTTTCCATGAATACATCTGTATATTGGTGTGTGTTTTTCTACGTGTGTGTGTCTGTGGCCATGCTGACCGAAGCGTCTCAGAGCCGAATCAATGCTGTTCGGCCGGTTGGTTGCTGCCATCACAACAACATGAGCTCTTTGCTTCAAACCATCCATCAGGGTCAGGAGCTGAGATACAATGCGCCTCTCCACCTCACCGTGAGTCTGTGTGCATGCAATGATTTAACAAAGAAAAGAAGATATGTCAGTTTCCAATAAAAAACCTGGACTTCCTCCTCTTTGCCCACCTTCTCTCGCTTAGGAGCGATGGCATCCAGCTCATCGATGAAGATGATGGCCGGGGCGTTGCTCTCTGCCTCCTCAAATGCTTTTCTCAGGTTGCTTTCAGACTCCCCTGCCAGCTTGCTCATGATCTCAGGACCTTGTGACAGAATCATGTTAAGATATTTTGCACTGAGCTAAAAACAAGAGAACCCACTTTGCTACATGACATCATTTTAGATATTCTCGGAATAAAATGCAGGGGGGGGGGGGGGGGTTGGGGGTTTACATATTTCTTCATTTTTTTTATTTTTTTTTGTTTGTTTTAGAGAGCTTGGTTCCTGCTAGGCAGCAACCGCTGCCTTTGGACGAAAAGTCAACTTTATCGGCCAAGTTTAAAACAAGGAATTTGAGCTTGGTTTCCATTGCATCATATCAACTTTAGTGAAATATGTCTCTGAAACATGTAAACGCTTCTATTGGTTCTTTAGTTAGAAAGTTTACTTCTGCCCAAGTTCTGAGTTTTCAAACCATCAACAACATGTTTAAGGTGAGGTCACTTAATTGTAAATGGATGCACAGTATATCAAGGAGAATTGCTTTATGATGGAAGCTCTTGTAATGCCCTTGTCTCTTGTACTAAAGTCGATCTCCTCTGCAGTGTTCTTACACCTATATTAGGAAGATTTTGTTGACTTGACTTTCCTTTCTGTCATGCCGGCCCTGAAACGCCACAGCCTGGGTTTATCAGCACTGCTTTGCTCCTGGAGCATTGACTTCCTCTCTAACAGACCCCACCTAGTGAGGAGACGGAAACTCATAACTGTCCAAAAGATCCAAAACACTGGCACTCAGCCTATCACACCACGAGCATGATTGTGAAACTCCTCACCCACACCACCGTCATATCTCTTAGTCGTAAAGACTTCCTCAAGAGTTGCAAATCTTAAATGAACCTTTTTGTTATTTTTGGTCAGCAGCAGTTTTCACTGTCTCCACTACATCTCTTTCTTGTGGTTAAAGAATCAAGAATCTTTACTGTTACTAATTAAATTCTGTTTATCCATATAGAGCCAATTCACAACATATTTAATCTCAAGGCCCTTTACAAAGAGAATTCAATCAAATCATAGTTAGATTGGTTCAAGTTCTATATATAAGACCAGCTGACTGACTCAACAGCAATCCCTCAAACCAACCATGCATTATGAAAGCATGATTAAATTATGCATAGACTCCTGGCTTAAAAGGCACAAACAATTCAAAGACAGAAATAAAAAAATTTTGCAGAAACAAAACAGATTTATAGAGAAAATATTTATATAGACATGGAATATCTAGTTTGTAACCACAAAACAGGCTTAAATTTGAAGGCAACAAGACTTTTGCTAAGTTTTTTAAAGATGTTTTTTACACCTATCCAAGAGTCGTTGGCACAAGAAAAGAATCCGACAATCCAGAAGGACAATGGGTGGTTATTGGATTTGCATCCGACTTGGAATGTGCTGAGGATGATGGACCTCTATTTTGCATAAATACATCAGCTCTCCATCTACAGCCAACTATAGCGAGCCAACAGAACTAACGAAGACTCCTGGATAGGTGTCGAAAGATCTTTAGAAAAAAACAGAGAGAGAGTCCAGTTGCTTTCCATTTAAGCATATTTTTTAGTTGCCCTGACCAGCATGACTGAGAACTATATGTCAGACTCTATAACCTGCCCATGTCATTTACACTGCTCGATTTGCACACTGCTCTATTTGCACTCCTTGTAAGATGCTATTTTACTTTTTAGATTTTATATCCATATTTTTATCTTAAGTGTATATATTAGTCTATTTTATTGCATGCCTTATACCCACAGTGTTTTAGATATTATTATAATTTTATTTACCTATTCCATATTATATGTTTCATGTTGCACGATTGTACCACAAAAAATTCCTAGTTTGTAAACTCCTTCACTAACAATGGCAGTAAATCTGATTCTAATTCTGATTCTGAACTAACACAGGCATGTCTGGTCTGTAGTAAGACATAGGAATGATTGTCAACAGCGGTGTGTTTGCATAAAGTACAGCTAGTGCCAGTCCAGAGATGAGATGATGGTCTGTTTGATTGTCAGCAGGGAGCATGTGCAAAAGTGAACTTCAGAATGGATGCGTATTTAACTGAGAAAGGGGTGTTAGGGCATTTACTTTCACAGCTACAGACAGGAAGTTTGTATGTTTTGGATAGATTTTTCTAAATTGATTTGAAACAGTGTATAGTAATACTTTATTTTTCTTCCTGGGCTCCACTCAGACCTCGTACTTGGAGTAATGTGGTATGTCAGCCACTCTGAAAAGGTTAGTCACTGTTAGATTTCTGTTTTCTTTTATTTTTCTTTTGAGTATCCAGTTTTTCTTTTCTCCTTGTTTCTTAGTTTTTATGGTTTAATTCTTAGTTTATTGTGTTCTTTGGTTTTTTCTCAGTTACTGTCCTAGTCTTGGTTCTGTTATATTTTCTTTTTAGTGTTCAGTTTTGCCTTGCTCGTTGTTTTCTAGTGTTAGTGGTTTTATATTTATTTTGCGGTGACCTATAGTTTATTCCTAGTTACTGTTTCAGTCTTGGTTCTGTTATGTTTTCTTTTGAGTGTTCAGTTTTACTTTTCTCCATGCTTTTTAGTCTTAGTGGTTTAATTATAATTTTGTTGTATTTTCTAGTTATTGTCAGTCTTCCAGGTTTTTCATTTGTTGCCCTCTGCTGCCCTCTTGTGTTCTCTTTTTTCCCTAGCTCCTGTTTTGTTTCTGCTTCTGTGCTCACCTGTTTCCTATCTGCTCATTAGCCCCCTCTTTGTCTCTGTCTCCTTTAAAAGCTCTCTCTGTTCAGTTCCTCTTTGCCCGGTCCTCGTCTAACTTCGTCTTACTTGCTTCAACTTCGTCTCTCTGAGCCTTCCTCCTAGAGTTTTGATTCCCCTGGTGTCTCCATGGTTTTCTGGTTTGAATTTTACTTATTTTTTCATGTTTTGAATTTAGAATTTTGGACTCCTGGTTTCTTTTTTGTTTTGAACATTGTTTTCCTTTTTTTTAGGATTCTTGGTTGAATGTTTGTTTTGACTTTGTTTTTCTTCAACTCTTCTTTAAACCTACTATAATTCACCTCTGCCTGCCTGCCTCTGCTTTTGGGTCCTCAATCCACAAACAAATTCTGACAGTCACTTTTTCCTTCACTGACAGGTGATGTCTAGACTTGTAGTTTGCTTGAGTCTTACAGCCTTAGAAACAGCTTATTAAATTTGGGTAGACTGAATGATGGAAGTGAACTGTATTCTTATCTGTTCCTGGATTTCTTTAGATTGGGAGATTGGGTGTGTTTAAAATGGGTATTGCTTTTTGCGAGCTGTTAGCCTGCATGCTCTGTTTAGGTGTTTTCTTGATTATACAAGCCTGGAAGTGACTAGTGAAAATGAATTCAGCCACTGAAAAAATGTGGATACCATAGTTAATTTCTTATTTACAAGGTCTAGTTAACCAAAATAGTGTTTATCAGAAACATGTCTGTGCTAATTGATTCATAACCAGTAGAAATCTATATGGCAACCTTTTTTATCCTGAGCAAAAGGCTTACCGTTAATTAGGAAGAAGAAGGCACCAGTTTCATTGGCTACTGCTCGGGCCACAAGGGTTTTCCCAGTACCTGCAGGGCCGTAAAGCAGGATACCTCTGGGGGGCTGAGACAGATAACAAGAGAAGAGACATGCTAAATGTTAGGATTTATTATTAATATTATTATTTTTAATAAATGGATTTAAATTACTAGTTTAGGATCATGACACCTTAACTCCTATTGCCTTGAAGAGTCCTGGATGTCGGAGAGGAAGCTCCACCATCTCTTTGATCTGAGCAAGCTGCTTCCGACAGCCTCCGATGTCATCATACCCGACATCATTTAGATTCTCCTCTTCATCCTGTCATAAAAAGCAGGAAAAAACAGGATTATCTAACAATCAGATGAAGATATTCAAACATGTGAAAACAGGACAAATTTTAATTGTGTCTTTGAAATATTACGCTTAAACCAGTTGTCCCTTTCTGCTTTCGATACAAGCTTAAAACCAGTTCATTAACTTCTGAATATTACATTCTGTGCTTAAAAAAGTATTCATCATTTACCTTTGAGATATTGAAACTTCCCCTTGATTGTCTCCCTGGCCTGTGCACTGTTTCTTGGTCTTCATGGTGTTTGCTCACTGAACTAAACCTTTCACTGAACAGCTGTGTTCAGCTGAAATCACATTTATTTGTTGGGTCACTTCTAAAAGCATTGGATTCCAAGGAATTCATTAGTTGATATCAGACTAAAGGGCACTAAAGGCAAATGGTCGCTACACTTGAATGTGTCTGGTATAAGCTAGCTGTGGGACATCTATTCCCAGAGTTATATTGGCAAAACAGGACGCAAAAAAAAAGGAACCTAAAAACATTGTAACCTACAGAAAAGCTGCATATGCAGGATATCACTGATTAGAGGCTGGATTTATAAACACCATTTTAGGGTGTAACATGAACAAATGTGAAAGATTTCATCTGTGGGGAATGACCCAACTGACTTGGGTACATAACGCCAGAACCAAGTTGGCAAAGTTCTTACTTTTTCTCTACAAGAAACAAGGACTCAGAGGCAATGTTTTCAGTGAAACCCACCTTATCCTTTCTAAGTATAACACACACCTCTCTTTTGATTGCCTCTCCTTCACAGTAGATGACAGTGTCTGGGGCAACGATGCAGTGAGGGCTCGGGTCCGTCTCTACCACCTTGAACTCTACAGCTCGCATGCCCCCCCTCACCAAGAAAATATCACCTGGTGTCAAACAAAAAACATCACATTTCACTCAGCAACACATAGAAGAAACATTTAGGGTGATTTATTGTTTCATATCAGAAAACCAGTTGTACAATCTTGTTTTTATACCTTTGTGTACAGGCCGGTATGCTTCTAGAAAATATGGCTTGAGGAAAACGTCAAACAGGTTCCCTGTCAGACCCTCTATGGTGTCATCAATAGGAAGGACATGGATCTTTTTCCCATACTTGATATCAGGGCAGGCATGGATGCTGGCAAATCAAAAACATTAGCTTTTATTACATAATAAAGTATATATTTCAGTAATCTTGAGTAATATTAATTTCTGTAAATTATTTTGTGGATAAAAAAACTATACCTCTGTTCATCTGTCTATCTCTAAAAAAAATCAATCTGAAAGTGGGATTTCATTAAAAAAATTTAGGATTCACATTTATCAAGTAATCATCATAGATAAATAACACTTTTAATAAAGAGAGCTAGTAAATAAAAACCTGACTCAAATGAATAATTTTCAACTAGCAGTTATTTATCAATGTGAGCTAACCTAAAACATACAAAAAAACAGAACAACCAACACTAACTCTAACTTCAGAATAAATAAAGTGTTAATAACCCAGATAATTACCACTAGGCAACTGTTAAACTGTTGCCTAGTGGTAGAGCACCTTGTTAAACAGGTCAACAGGGAGAAAAAACCCCCGGAAAAAGTCAAAATCCTCAAAGAGAGGGATTTTTTACCTTGATCTAACTTCTAGTTTTGGCTCTAAGTAGGAAGGGAAATAATTAAAGGAGGAAACAAAATCAAGATTGGAGACATTATTTCACATAGGGCCAGATTACTGGCATATTATTTTTTTTCTCCAATGATAAATGAATTCATCATTAAAATTCAATTTCTTTGCTCATCTGAAACATTTAGGTGCTGTCAGGGGTTGTGGAGGTTTTTGGAGGACTTAAATGCAGAGATGGAATCTGAGGTGGTTTCTTGCAGATTAAATGACCAATGATGGCCAATGAAGCATAAACCCCAAAAAACCAGAATAAATGGAAACATATAGGTTAACGAGGGCATAAAAGGATGGAGATAATCCAGCAATCAGTAACTGCAAAGGAGGAGTATTAATGCAAACACAACAAAGACTGGAGTAATCAACTGATTGGGAACAAGTGGAGGATCTAGAAGGGAGCTAGGGAAAGGAGACTGACACAAGAGGGCAAACAAAAAGACAGAAGAACTCAAATACATCCAGAAAACAACTGGAATAGCACAAAGTGAAGATGAATTCAATGAGCTCACGAAGAAAACTTAAACAGAATCAAAAAGTGCAAAACCATGACAGGTGACAATAAAGCAAAAAACAGAAGAAGTGTATGCATGGCTAAATACTATTTAGCTGATGTGAGGAGCTGTAGCTCTGAGGTTTCTTTTTATCCAGTCTAAAAAATCTGAAAAAAGCTGCTCACAATTACTGACTGTTCGGGGTTTTATTTGTTCTGTTTTATTTAAAAGATGTTTTAAAACCCGCCAAAGATATGAATTAGCTTGTGCTATAATCTGTGTATCAAAATGTGTTGTTTTTTTCCCAGTTTGTTTGTTGTTGTTGTTTTTAGTTTTGTTTGAGCATTACATTTTCCCTTACATAATAGACCATATTACTATTGGATAAGTCTTGTTCCAGGAACATCTTCAGTGAGAAGGAGTCTTCAGGAAGGACTGATCGACCAATCAGAAGCCAATTTTAGGTAACATGACAGCTATTTCATATTGAATAGTGTAATTTGACCAAAATTTCTCCGTTACACATCAGAGAAACATCTCTTCAGTCCAAAAATCTAAAAATCTATTCTATTTTAGCCATATAGTTGTCACCAGACGGTGACAACTATATGGCTAAAACAGTGACTAAATGATTTTCCAGGCTTGCTCACGAATGAACAGTGGCAATGGGAGTTTGCTTTGACTGTACATGATCATCCTATAGCTGTTCTACAGACCTACCTGATGACATCACCAAGGCGGACACGCAGGTTGTTGCGTGTCACCCTGTTCATCCGAATCCTCTCATCCCCACAGGTGTTATCCGTCAGGACAATGCACACAGTCTGCCGCCGTTTTCGTCCTCTCAACACCACGGTGTCCCCGCGGAAGAGCTGCAGCTCCTCTGTCTTGTTCTAATGTTGACAGACCAGTCTTAGTGCAAACTCACTGTCATGAATCTGTTGTCGGGTCAACTTATGGAGAGGCGCACCTGCGATAGGCTGACAATGCTGCTGTCTTCATTGAGCGCCTCGTCCACAATCAGTCGATTGGGTCTGTGTTTCTGCTTCAGGATGGCAGTGGAGAAATCCTCTCCCTTTGGGCTTCCATACACAGACACGTTGACACTCTCACATCAGGCAGCACATGCTCTACACACCATGATCTAATTTCTTCATGTGACTCTGAGCTGTATTTAGAATCTCTTTGGCTCTCCACAGAAAAAAAAAGGACTTTCTTCCCTAATAAACCTAAAATATCTAAATTCTTTTGGAGTTTATGATGAAATACTTGATTTACTTTCAATACAAATCAAGGTCTGTGTTAATCAGACTTTTAATCTATTTTAAAACAATGCAGTTGTTTACTCACTCGGCTCCTCCTGGGCCTGGCATCTCCTCTCCCCTTTGTCTTCAGAGAAGCTCACTATGCTGCAGAATATTCAACAGATGAGCTTTTATGCTTCAAAGCTTTCAGCTTTCTGTATGATCTTTTCAGTCTTTGGTGATCTTGTGGTCTTCAGAGGCCAAAAGGTTCCCAGAAGACTCTCAGGATGTCCTTTTTTCTTCTATCCTCTCTTGTCTTCAGTCTTCATGTCTGCAGGGGCTGCATTCTGCCTGTTTGGTATGACCGCGTCTGTCTGCTTTGCCTGTTATAACTCCAACATGAGCGCCCACACATGCCGGGATCCCTGGCACTTACCTCGAAGGCCGTCCCAAAGCGGCTGCAGTGTGATATTTACTCCTAACCCAAACAAGATCTAAGCTGCTCCCAGCAACTGATGAATATTCATGGTTCTAAGCAAATTCTCCAATAAAGGTACTCAAAAGAGTATCCGTAGTTTTGCCATGTCTTATTTTTAAAGGCGGTAGTTTGTTTTTACCTCCGATTGTGTGACTGAAAGGAGCTCCTGTCGTGACGCAGCTGCTCTAAACTGTCAGGGGTCCTGAAATGCTGCCCGTGAATGCTCGTGTTGGGTATTCCTCTTCATTCAGCTCTCTCATATGTTGTCATGTAGCAACTACAATGTATTTAATTGGGATTTTATTTCCTAGTATTGGATTAAGCCCTCTTGACTGTGATACTCATAATAAAGTCAAGCACAACTAAAGTCCATTAACTCAATCTGAAAGCTCAGGTGTTTCTTTTTTTGAGTTTTTACAGCACTAGTGGCCCATTTTTCTGACAGTAGGCTGACAGGAAAGGGGGTATGAGAGAGGGGGATTGGAACCCAGGTCGACCGCGTAAAGCCTTGGTACATGGGTCGTGCGCACTAAACACTGCACCACCTGCATGCCCCCAAAAGCTCAGCTGTTTTATTGCAATTTAATGTTGTGACGTAATGTTCTGAGGACAAAAAAAGTTGTTAGGCCAAAAATAAAAGCTAGATTTGATCTCAAATCATGGTCAAACTGTTAACCCTGCACACATATGGAATAAATTCATATGCATTCAAAATATAAGAACTTCTTAGCAAAAATTATTCAGTTCCAGGTAAAACATATAACCAAGTTAAAATATCTTAAAACTAGTGAAACACAACTAAATTAGTAACCTACTATGTACACTTTCCTTTGTGATTACCTCTTTGAAGGGGTTAACCTTTGGTATTTGCATATTTGTAAGTTGCCTGTCTTTTATCTTTTACTCCTTTGCCTTGGTTTAACTATTGGACAACCAAATCTGTGTCTCATGCTGGACCTGTTCTCTATTTGAATGTTTAATACTCTAAGCTTGCTTTTATCTGTGTGATAGGACACGGGTTTCCCAAACAAGCTGAAAATATCTCTGTAAAATATTTTTCACTTAAAGTTTAACAAAGAGCTGAATAACTGTTTTTGATTTTTAGAGAAACGAGACTCTGATCTACTTCCTGCAGATAAGTATTGATTTTTGAGGCCTGACTATCTGGATCAAAAAGCTCTATGTCCTAAGCAAAGAACTGAGTGTGTTTGTTTTGGATGCTGTACTCACATGGTGGAACAGGGTCATACTGGAGCTTGAGTAGGTCACGCTCATAACATTTGAACTAACCTTTGATGATGCAGGGAGATTGATCATGATTTAATTGAATGACTCTCATTTTTCCCCAAGGAGTGACAATTGGTCAGAGCTGAAGCAGGATGGCTGGTCATTGCTCCAGTTTGAACCACCTGTTCGAGAGAGTGATGTTCTTATTGCAATGTGTCAGTTAACTGCAGAGGATGGTTGTACGGCTCGCCAATTCCCGGACAAAAATCACGCCATCTGGCGGAAATCACGCGGCTTTTTCAAATCACGCGAGAATGTGTACAAAACAACAAAAATGGCGCCGACAATGCTTTTGGGTCGTTTTCATCGAATGTCAGTGATTTTAAGAAATTTTGGGTGATAATTTTTTTTTGCGATCATTGCCCTGTGGGCAAATGCAATGAAATCTGTACTCTCCCAACAATAAAAACTACTTGCCCCAGGAGATCGGGCGATTGTTAACATCGAGCCCTGTAGGGAGTCTCATTATTTAGTGGTGATAACCGCTGTTAATGGTATCGCATAGTTTATCAATAATGTAATCTCAGTTATATTCTCATTTGCACAATGATCATTGGACAGCGCCATTACATGTTATGCAATTATATGGTGTTGTGACTTTATGTTATTCAATCAAATATCTTAGGATTATCATATGTTGTTCAGTGGCCAGTCTCCCAACTAGCAGTGTGTTAGGATGACAAATAAAAGGTGTGATTGGAGCTCAAATGATGGTCAAACAGTTAACACTACACAAACATATGGAATAAATTCACAACATTTACTTAAAATATAATAATTTATGAACATATATCATCCATCCAGGTCAGACATGTTTCAGTTAAATAATATTAATTAAACAAGAGGAACTCAGCTAAGCTAATAAGCTACTTTGTACATAGGCTAAAAACCATAATGACTCAAATAAAGGAACAAATTCAGCATAGGTTTTATGTTTAAGAATCAAAGCTTATCTTGAGAGGTTTGGAATTAGGTCATATTAGCTTAAAACTAATTTAGAAATATCAGAATGTGTTCAAACCAATACACAATTCAAATCCAAGAAGTGAAAAAGATATTATTTGGTAATTTAATATTTTATTAAATGATTAGCTTAGTTGTAAATCAGCTGTTTAGAAAATGTATTATTAATCTTTTGAGATTGTTCCTGGGGGTATAATTCGGATTGTGACCCTTTTAGCTTATTTAGATAGGTTTGGTTAATAGGGAAAATGGAGCTAAAAGCTAACAAACAGACTTGTTTTAAAGGACTTTTGGTGTGATTTTAGTGTTGTGGATTTATATTCAATGCTAATCCAGGTTGGATGGCATATCTATGTTGTGAATAACTGTTATATTCAATTTCCAGCCAGCTGGGAATTTATATTTCTGATACTTTAAGATGTTTATTGCCCTCCCAGGTAGGGGTGGTAAATATCTCATTTAATCAGATATTATTTCGGCTGTTATATATTATTTATGAACACACGCCGTATTGGCTGTTTGTTAGATCAATAAGTGAAATCTTTACAGTAACATGTTTGGGATGACACCATCTTTTTTCACAAGCACTGACAACACACCTCCCTTGAGTTTTCCAGTATTCTGTTACGGTCTCTCGTGTGAGTGAGCTACCTGTCACAGAGAGGATCTTTTCTGGTAGCTGGGCCAACCTTCACACTTCGCACTCTGCTGCAAACCACTGCAGTGCACAACAAAGTTCCTGGTTTGATGAGGCCAACAGGACAACGTCATCTGCAAACAGCAGAGGCAATATCCAGAGGTTCCTAAACCTGACACACTCTGGTCCCTGGCTGTTTCTGGAAATCATGTCCTTAAATGTAATGAACAGAACCGATGACAAAGGGCTGCCCTGGCAGAGGCCAAAATGCACCGGGAACAGGTCTGACTTACTGTCGGCAATGCAAACCAAGCTTCTGCTGTGGTCATACAGAGAACGGAAAGCCCTTAACAGAGGGCCCCATACTCCCGGAGCACCCCCCACAGGGCACCCTGAGGAACACGGTCGAACTCCTTCTCCAGATCCACAAAACACAAGTGGACTGGTTGGACGAAATCCCATGAACCCTCGAGCACCCGATGAAGGGTATAGAGCTGGTCCAGTGTGCCACAACCGGGACAAAGGTACCCAAGACGAATCTCAAACACCCCAGGGCCTTGCCACCGAGAAGCTCTCCAACTACCTCGGTGAATTCAGCTTGGTTGTTGGGCGAGTTTCTCTCCAAGTCCCCAGATTCTGCCTCCTCCTCGAAAGACGTGACAACGGGATAGAGGAGATCCTCGAAGTACTCCTTCCAATGCCCGACAGCATCCCCAGTTGAGGTCAGTGACTCCCCACCCCCACTGTAAACAGTGTTGGTAAAGTACTGCTTTCCCCTCCTAAGGCAGCGGACAGTTTGCCAAAATACTTTCGCGGCTGACCGATAGTCCTCCTCCATGGCCTCTCCAAACTCCTCCCAGACCCCAGTTTTGCCTCTGCCACCGCACAAGCTGCACGACTCCTATGGATCCCTCTGTAGGGTCCACAGAGGGGTCCACCGTCCTGTGGACCCCTACGGTGGGTCCACAGGAGGGTGGGCCAACATCCTCCGTTCGGGCTGGGCCCAGCCGGGCACCGTGGGCAAAGACCCGGCCACCAGGTGTTCGCATGCGAGCCCCAACCCCAGGCCTGGCTCCAGGGTTGCCGACAACATCATGGTCCTTAGTTTTATTCTTTCCATAAGGGCGTTCTGAGCTGCTGTTAGTCTGACCTGTCACCTAGGACCTTTTGCTATGGGAGACCAGGACAACATGGCTCATATGATCATTCTGGCACTCAAACAACCCCACCACCTTAGTGTGGCAGCTCGCAGGTGGCTGATGGACTGATTTAAGAAATATCTTTTAATAAAAATATTATTTTACAATATATATCATTCCAATTGCTCTAAATTAGCTGAAAGCCAATTTGACCTAATTCCCAACTCTTCAAGCTAAGCTTAGTTCTCAGACATAAAATCCATGATGAACTGTGTCATCAGTGTATCACTCTGATTATGGTTTTCAAATATTTTATTTTCTTCTATTTTGTGTACATAGTAGCTTAGCGTAGTTGAGTTTCACTATTTAGTCAAGAAATTTTGGCGGAAATATGTTTGACTTGACTTTGTGTTCACAGAACAACTTATGAAAGTAGGAATTTTATTTGATTAGATAACATAGAATGAAGTTAGAGCATAACACAAAAGTAATTTTTTTCCCCGTTTCTGTTTATGTGTTTTTCTAAAGAGCAAAAGTTTTAGTTCATAGATGTGGGAAGATGGTGACTTAAAGACTTGAAGCTAACCATGAAAATTGGATCAAAATAAATTTAAAATCTCTAAACATTATGCTCTATTTGTGTTTGTCTGCTGCATAAAAACAAGAACGCATACACTGAAGGTTTTGTTGTAATGATGACAAAAATATAAAAATGTTTCAGACTGTATACTCCTGATGTGCAAGATGACAAGAATGAATGAGAACTTTAAATCTTTTTTCTCCTTTAATTTTTAAATTGTTCATTAACAAGTAACACATGGGAAAAAAGACATTTTCTACATTGTCAAACACAACCTTTTCTTCAAACATTTGCATCTAATCCAAAACAGGATGAAATGACAGAAAATGCTTTGTCAACTAAACATAAAGCAAGAGGTAGAGAAGGTTGAAATGCACAAAGAGGAACGTCTCTCAGTATAAATTGTTGCCAAACAAACCAATGTGCTTAAAAAAGGGAAAAGAAAACAGCAACAAATGTTTAGTGCAAAACCTGGAATATCTGCTTATTTCATATCAGCAATGGTTCAAAAAGGGAGTATAAAATATTTTATTTGCACCCACAGTTTAATGAACATATCAGATAAGCACATGGTGGAACATAGTTTCTTCTGCCCATGTGGACAAGACAGATTTAAACAGAGAGCAAACAGGACTTATTATTATTATTCATTTATTAGTGCATCCTTGTCCATACTCATAAATATGCAGTATGTTTTCATGCAGAGAATCAGTGATGCTTAAGGGTCTAATATGAACAAGAATACATCAAAATTGTAATTTCTAGGTGTTTGCTTTTGTTAATTGGATAAAGAAGAAAACGTAATAAATCATGGTTAGACCAGTTGTCATAAAGAGCTGCAACTAAACATCTCTGTAGTTCATATTCAAACTGTTTTTACTCAATAGATTTAATGTTATGGGGAAAAAAATTCTAAAGACATGTGACCAAATAAGAAAGGACTCCTTTAAAAAGCCGACTATTACCACTTAATTTTGAGAGAATAAACTGTAAAGAACAGAAGAGTTAATATTCCAGGTTAGATAAACTGGAATACATCCAACCCAAGTCGTTATAACAATTTTAAATTCCAATGCAAAAACCTCAAACATACGTATGTGAAAATATTCTTTTGTTATGGTTTTAAGGACGGATCGATAAAGACAAGGGACTGAGCAGAATAGAGAAGACTTCAACTGGTTTTTACTGAACATTAGAACCTGTGGGACCAACATTTTCTTTGCTACATAGAGATTTCTGCAGCAATGGAAAGTCAACAAACAGAACAACTAAAGTAGATTTTCTAGGGTTTGTTGTCATGTTTGCTGATCCAGAGAAGGCATGTTCTTGCTCTTGATCTTTCAGATTATAAACTGTCCAAATCCAGTCCTGTGTAGATGTGAAAGCTGATTTAAATGGCTTAAGTAACTATCTAGTACTGCAGAGGTTTGATCATGACTTATTTATTTCTAATTATAATTTTTATTATTTTTTATGAGAAGCGTCTGGTTACAGCGATAAATAAGATACAAGAGCCTGTCCATAAACCATTAAAAAGGTAATCAGCAACTTAAAAAGATTTTCTTTACAGAGAAACTCAATTTAGATCCTAATTACAAGTTTGAATTGTTAACCGTGGTTTTAGCTAAATAGCAAATTAGTGAAAATTATTCTTGATATAATCTAAAAGGTCAAATCCAACCTTTAGGAAATGATGTGTGAAATATTCTGGACCTTTTATTGCAAATTCTTCCTGGACAATTCAGTTCCCTCGGGCTACAGACAAAAACCCATAAGACAAGCACCCATTGAGCTTGAACTCATCAGATGAAAGCTCACTATTTACTTCCGGAGTTTAGAGTTTGCTTTATATATATAAAAAAAAAAATGTCCACTATACAAACAATAAGCTGACCTACAAGTGTGAGGTTCTCACACCACAGACCTATTATTTAACCAAAACATGATTTCTGACACCATGCGCATTAGATACAACAAAAATCACAGGCTTACGCAGATCAGTTAATATAAAAAAGGAAAAGTGCATCAAGAAAGTAAACATTTGTATTGAATCTTTACATATGAAAATGTTCTAAAATTCTACTTTTTGTTGGCTGTCGTTTGTGCTTCGTTCAGTAGAAAAATCCTACTATAAAATCCAGCCACTTTTCCATAGAGACCAAACAGGCAGCAGAGACTCGAACATGAACTGAGTCTGACTGTTGACTTCCTCACTAGCAGAAAAACTAATCCTACCTTCTATCATGCATGCATTTGTATACTACTTTAGCTGTATATTTAGATATTAAGAGAACAGTCTGGGTCTATTTGGTGCATGTTGTTAGCAGAAATCGTCCTCAAAGTGTGTTTTCTGCAGAACCTTTATGTGGCGCTCGTAGATCTTGAGGGCAGGTCCAAGTTTGATTGACAGCCCAGTAAGAACATCGTTGCGTTGCATCAGGAGGAGAGCCTTCCCATCAATTTCCTTTAATAAGAGCAAAGCATAGAATGAAGGCTGGTGAAGCTTGGTTCACTAGCATTCTAAGGCGCCCTCCAGTGGCAGAAAGAGAAAAAAACAGCCTCACCTGGGTCCTGAAGGCAGCTGCCTGCTCAGGGAAACCCACAGCTGTGATATAACTGACCACATCAGACACGGTCCAGAATACAGGGCTTACTCTGGTGCTGTCCAAATTCATATGCCTTGAAGAAAACAATAAGTCAGACCTGACTTTTAATAAACCTACAGGGTACCCGAAGATCTGGAGTGCAGGTACAGGGGATTTAAAATGTGCACATTGCTCTGCAAAAAATCTGTCAACAGCAACACTTGTATAAATGAAAGGAAATTCTATTAAATATTTTGGGTGAGAAGGTGGAAAAATATGTCAAAAAAAATCTGGTGGCATTTGCGTCTCACCCTAAAACTAACAAATTGATAAAGCAACTTTTATTTTATTTTTTCCAGAGAAATTCACCTGCCAAGCAGTTCTTTGGAATCAATTAAACCGTAAATAAAGATCCACTGTCTTTGCAGGATTTTCCTAACATTTCCTTTTTTTGCATATTTCAGCTAAAGCAAGGGTTTGAATTAAAAACAGCTCAGGTGTAATCTAACCAAAGCTTTTTGGACTCACATAACTATACTTACACTATGCATTGGTGAAAGAACAACAAATGCATAGTGAAACAGGGTGGTGGTAGCGTTATGCTGTGGAGTTACTTTTTCTTCCAAATGAATCGTGTTTGTCAGCAGAAGCTAAAAGGAAATATTATGGTTCAGCATCACTGTTGGTCTAAACAAAGATCTAAATCATTGGAAGAAGCGCCTCATCGGGAGAAAATGAATTGGTTCTCATGCTAAAGGAAGGCTGCCAACAAGATAAGCTATTCATCTATGGAGGGATGTTTTCTGGTTTGCTATACTCACCCTCCACTGCTGTGGTTTATTCCTCGCTCTTCAGGGAGGCTGGAGTCCCTGGGAGAGGCAGTTGGTGTGAGCATGCAGGACGAAGCGCCAACCTCTGTTTTATACTCCACGTCTACAGGTGAAATATTAGGTCAACAACACCAACATGCCCAAAAAAAAAAAACTCAGGTACTGAACTTATCGAGAGGGAAACTTACTGCTGAAGCTTGAGGCGGTGAGGTTTATTTCATCACGCTGTGTATAACTCTGTGTGGAGAAAATATGAACAATTAAAAAAAAAAAAAGGTCAAACAAAATCCAAGGAGAAAGCGAGCATCTAAAGTGAATCAACCTCTGAAGGACGAGAGGAGGTGGCTGCATAATGACAAAACTGCAGCAGCACATTAAGACCATCTGCTGTGGGAGTGTGAATGATGATGTGCTAGGTATGAAGCGCAGCAATGGGGGAGCCCAGGCTGCCAAGGCTGATGAGTCACACCCCCAGCCAAGCGCTGGAGTGTATCCTAAACACCCATAAACTCACTTAATTCAACAGAATCTTTCTGCTTCGCTTAGAAAAATGATAAAACATCTTCTAGGAGATAAAAATACGATCTCACTGACTCAGTGGGAAGCCAATCTTTACCAAGAGGCCATTTTTACAGCGTTCCTACTCACTGAAATCTTTCTAATGACCTAAAATATTCCAAACTTCTCAAAAAAGGTCAACATAAGGCCACATACATTGCCTATAAAAACTTTCTGTTTTATATCTGCTGGAATAAAAGAAAATACAACCTTTTCTTTGAGCCGTGCCCACAGAACAACAAAAAGTATTCAGACCTCCGCAGGCTCGGACTGGTAATCTATGATACCTGTTAGGATTCCAGTTTGGGTGGGTTGTTTTTGTGTTTTCTTTTGTTCTCCCTTTCCGCCACTAGATGGGGCCCTCTCCTCGTTTTGGCCTCCTCGCACACCTGCGGCTTGTTGGGTCATCAACAGAGGAGTATTTGAGCAGAGAACTGTCACTACCTCAACGCCAGAGTGTTTGCCAGTATTGGGTACTCTAGCCAAACTGAGTTTAGCTGAGTCTAATTATTGCCTTGTCTCTCTGAATATAAGCTTTGCCTATGTCTTTTTTCTCTTTGCCTATGTCTTTGTTCTCTTTGCCTATGTCTTTGGACCTTCTACCCCCCCTGGAAGGAATAATTTGAGTCACATTGAGCAAGGGGAAACCTCCACCAGATCCGTTCAAGTCTGCATCAGGAAAACCCGGTGGCAGTCCGTTCCATTGCTCCTCTGGACCCAATGCTAGTCTGCCTGTCCGCCCTCCAACGAGTTCATTCATCTCTGGATACAACCCCACAAACTGGATCCTAAGGAAAACCAAGAGCCCCCCAAATGTGAATCTCATTTCTGCATATTACAAATCTCAGTCATATTTCCTACGGGCCTTGAATTGATCATTGTGATCTCCCCTTCAGAGTTTCCGGTTCCGGTTCACCAGTCTGCTGAGGTTCAACTGAGTTTACCCTCCTGCTGTATAACCTCTCACTCTGTTTTTTTTAACCTACAAATAAACCAGTTAACTTTTACCCTTGGTTTTCTAAGTGTGTGTCTCTGCATGTGGGTTAGAACCTTAAAGCCCATCATGACAATACCAGGCATTTGCCCGGTGGGCCGGGCCTAAACTCAGCGTGCGAGGACCGGCCCTCTTTAAACCATACCGGTCCCAACACTTACTCTCCGGCTATAGCTCCTACCTCCTACCACAACCTTATGACGGTTGTTATATGGTGTAATTTTCCATTTCTTCAAACTGTAAAATCCTATTTCTTCAAACTATAAAATCCAAGCGACAAACTAAATTATAATAAAACTGAAATGCTTTCTTTAAACCAAACTACGACGTTCCTCTTATATTTGGCGAATTTATCTTTGAATATTTTGCAATAATATGTTGTGGTGCATGATTGGGTTCTGCATCTAAATCTAACGTTTCCCATCTTACATGCATTGTTGCCAAGCTGGGATGTTTCCCAATCTGGCAGTTTAGGATGGCCATTTATGGGTAAAAAAATTTTTTCTTTAGATATATGGCATAAAACAGGGGTCTTCAATGTTTTCCAGGGCAAGGACCCCCAAACTGATGGGGAGACCCCCTAATTTTATATATATTGTATGAAATTGTGTTCTATCAAATTGGTCATATAGTCACTCTATTACAGATGGAGTAATGTAACAAAAGTAATTTCTCCCTGGGATTATTAAAGTATTTCTGATTCCTAGTTAATGGGACAGGTGTTGTGAATGAAACGGTGCCGCTGAATGTGTTCATTTATGACTAAAAGACATCTTCTGCCTCCATTTATCTGTTTACTACAGTCAGCTGAATTCATGTTAATGTGGATTTAAAGACATTTCAGTTAGTGGAAAAAACTGCAGGGGGGAATATAAAAAAAAAAGTCTAATCAACCAAAACCAAAACCATGCAGTACCTCAGCGGACCACTTGGGGTCGCGGACCCCCTGTTGAAGACCTACGGCCTAAGAGATCAATAGACTTTGGTTCAAATTGGGCGAGATTTTGTACATTCAGGCGGTTTATGAAATGTTTTGGGCTGGAAAACATGAGTCAGTGACATTTGGCAACCCTGCTGATGTGGTGAGTGGGGGACGTTACACAGCAGCAGTCACTGTTGCATCCGTGTTAATAACCAAAGCCAGTAAAACCACATTATAGAAGATAGATTGGTTAATCCACAATGTGTATTCGTAATGTGTTTCAAATTTGAGACGCACGAGACCTTCGAACCTGTCACCAACAGCGGACTTCATCATCTTTTACTGAGATCTTATGTAAATAACCAAACCAGAGGAGCTTAATTGTGAAAAAGAAACAGCTTATTTGAACTTTTCTACAGATAGGATGTGGAAAAGTGTGCAATGAACCCTGTCTTTATCTAAAAACTTTATAATTAAAGACACAGCAAACTAAACTCACCTAATTAATAAATAAGAATAAAGTTGTTGGTAGTTTAAACTCAGGATGAATCAAGCAGCTCATTGAAGGCCTAAGAATTTTGTTGGAGAATATCTGTGGACAATGAGCATCATGAAAGCCAAGAAATATCATAGACCAGTCAGGGAAGAAGGTCTGGAGAAGTTTAAAGCAGGTTTAAGTTAGAAAATATTTCCCCAAGTGCCGTATAACGGCAAACATCTAACCTAAATTAGCCAGCTTTTCAGATTACCAGGCAGATGTCATTTTCAGCTCTGAACCCAACCTATATATAAAAAAAGAAATCCTCCTCAAACCTGAACTATTTCAAACTATAAATGATTTGCAACACCAAATGATGGATAGTTTGATTAAAATAGTAAGCTAACCTACCTTGTTTTTTATTTAAAAAAAAAAATGGAGCAGTGATAAAAGAGAACAGGATGGATGATTCACTCACTAAATGATCGGAAGTGAAAGCTGCCTCTTCCGGGTGTGCGCCGTTACACTCAGACCAGGAGGCTCCGTCAGGAGGTGGAGACTGGGTCTCTAGAGGAAGGTCAAGCTCAGACATCGCTGAGGAGCAAGCAGCTGAAGCAGAATGAGAGGAAATAAAGAAGAAAGAGTTAAGGTTAAAGTTAAAACATTTACTTTGAAGGAGTCATGTTTACTCCTCCAAAAAAAATAAAAAAACAGGAGACAAAGTAAAACTGTGAAATTTGTTCAAACATTGTTTTGTTATAAAAAAGTAATTGTAAACATATGTTTCACTTTTTCTCCGCATTTTACTTAAATCTATTTTTATGACAAACATACAGCATGATTGTTAAGTATAAGGAAAGTAATGGAAGTTGATCAAAAAGGTAGAAAAGATTACCCTGGTAACACTGGAGGAGCTGCAGAGATCAACTGCTCAGACAAATTATTATATAAAAAGAAAATGAAAAAGGGGGGAGTGGTGGCCTAGTGGTTAGATTTCGCTTGGGTCCTGGTTCAACTCCCGCAGACTGCCACTCTGGGTCCTAGAGCAAGACCCTAAACCCCACACTGCTATCCGGGTGCCGCACAGTGGCAGCCCACTGCTCCCCAAGAGAATGGGTTAAATGGATTTAATTTCTCCATTGTGATATTAATAAAGTTCATCCATCCATTTTCTGACACGCTTATCCCAGGTGGTGTTGCAAGGGGTGCTGGTGGCCAACACAGAGACAAACAGCGCAAAAAAACATTCACACACACACTCACACCTAAGGAGAATTTCGAGAAGCCAATTAACCTAACAGTCATGCTTTTTGACTCTGGGAGATTGCCGGAGTACCAGGAGAGAACCCACGCATGCTCAGGGAGAACATGCAAGAAAGATCCTGGGCCAGGAATCGAACCCCGAACCTTCTTGATGCAAGGTAGAAGTGCTACCCACTGCCGACTGTGCAGCCCTAATAAAGTTAAATTATTATTATTAGATGGGACAGTGTAAGTGAGACTACTGTAAGTCTGCAGTTTGTGGAAAAGGAAAGTGAAAATGAAGACGTTCTGGACAGATAAGATTTTTGTCCAACGTGCAAAACTCTGTTGATGCCAGAAAACTAGTCAACAAACTCCCCACGACAACCTTTTCTCACAGCAAACCATAGTGGTGGCAGCATCATGCTGTGGGAATGCTATCTTTGAGACACGGGGGCTTGGTTAAAGATCATGATGGATGGAGTTACAGGGAAATACTAGAGAGAGCCAAACTTTTAAAGTTAGACCTACAGAGGAAGAGCTCGGCTCAAAGTGGAAAAGGCCCAGTCAGAGTCCAGAATTAAAGCTGTAGCAAGACTCAGACCTTTTCCAATCTCACTGAGTTTGAACAACTGGAAGTTGGTAGAGAGCAGGGGTTCAGGCAATACGTGCTATAAAATGTACCAGTAATGTTAGTTATTCATCTGAAATCCTGACAAAATACATCCAAGTATGTGGTTGTGAATGTTGCAAAACTAATAAACTTAGAAGAACCTCAAGCTAGAGGCAGCAGAACATAATTGAAGCCACACACCTTCTCCATCCTGCCTCTGCTGCTGGGGGCTCTCCTCCTTCAGCTCTCTCTCAAAGCCCACATCTTCTCTGTTGTTCTCAGCAAGTCCAGCTTCGGTTGTCATGGCTACCGGGGAAAGTCCTCCATCCTCATCAGAACTCCTGGGATCATCATCATCATCCTCCTCTTTCTCTTCCTCATGTCCTCCCTGTTCCTCCTCTTCCTTCTCACAGGTTTCCATGGCCTCGTCCTCCAGAGGGGCTGGAGGTGGAGTCTGTAGACAAGTTTTAAAAATGTCCTCTTTATAAACATCACAGGGAAAAGGAGGGTTATGGCTAGAAAAGAGACAAATATCAGAAATAACGAGCAGCTCACTGGAGTCTAATCCAGGGAGGGAGGGGGGGGGGAGTGTCAGGGACCATAGAAAGGTTTTAATGAGGCACCGAGGGGGGAGGAGAGAAACAAACAGCAATAAACTGGATGAGCCCCTCCACCGGCCTCAAAGCGCGCCTCAAGTTTTTTTCTTTTTTTTTTTTTACAGACATCGCCTGACATGGAGCGCACCGGCCGACGTTAACTTCATATGAAGGGAATCCAAGCGACACAACATGGAAAGGAGCCCAGAGGCTGGGACGGCTCCCAGCGGCGCTCCTCTCTGCTGGTCCTGGGAGCCGCCCGCTCCTCTGTGCGTGCAGCGCTGAAGTTAGCATCTGATTCGGTGCTACGGCTACAAAACCACTCTGTTAAATTCAACGACAGTTAATTTGTCCTAAAAGAGTTAGAACTGTCAATTCTGAGCTTTTTTCCCTTTTTTTTTTATTGCCTACTGCATGCAACACAGTTTGTAGTTGGTTAAATATGTATTAAATCTGAAAAAGAAAAAAAATTAATCAAAAAAATCCTGGGACTCCAAGACTGGGTAAACTTGCAAAATAAGACGACCTCCACAGGTCTAACTTCAGAAAAAAAACAAAAAAAACAATAGGCATGTCAGATTATAGAGAAATAAATGCACTATTCTAAATGCAAAGCACGGTGGCGGGAGCGTCATGCTGTGGTGATGCAGAAGGACAGCTGGCCAGTTTGCATCAAATACAACCCAATCCAAGTTAGTGATATGAGGAATTCTTATTTAGTTAAACTAGAAGAAAATCTTCATTTCAAGGCTTTTCTTAAGATTCCTGATGACCGAAATAACGGGGCTAACAAATACAATCCTTAAAGATGCATTTCATACCCAATCTGTGCTTTAGATCGTAATGGTCCTGACCCCTAAAACCAATATTAAACTAAGTAATACACAATTATTTATCATGCTTAGAGATATAAAAGCATCACTTAATAATAGAAAGGTGTGTGTATTCAGCCATGTGTTGAATCTGGTAACAGTTGGGTGAGAAGCTGAAAGTCTGCTTCAGATGTCAGCAGACTTGTAAACATTTTATCAAATGGATCTGATTCTAATGCAAGTAACTGCAAAGTTTTTCTTTAGATGAACAGTGAGTAATCATGCATTTCTAGCTGTAACTTCACATCTGGGTTATACTTGTCTCTTATAAAAGAGGTTAAATGCAGAGGATATATTTTGCTGTAAAGCTCTTAGCTTACATAACTAGGGGTTTATAAGTGCTTTGACAAACTCACCGTGACATCACACCGAAGGAACTAGAACTGAACTTTACAGAACCTCACTTCTAAATAGCTAAAAAAAAATCGAAGCAGAGCAAATCTAGACATAACAGTTCTGTGTTAATGGCAGACTGTATAATTTGAAGCACCATCATGGTTAAAATGTTGTTGTTTTTACTTAATCATGCTTTTTACCATGTCTAAAAGGTAATTTTTTAAAGTTTTACTTTAAATTTTAAGGCACCCCACATGGGACACATCCTAAAAAGACTCTGCCTATAGACAAAACATGTTAATAGCTTTGTATGCATTGTTATTTGCCCAATTTTAGCCTCTGCAGGGGTTGTCAAATGTTGTAAAAGAAAATGAATTACAAATTATGTTGTAATCTGTAATGTCCGTAGTGTAGAGTAATGTTATGAGGTTTCTTATTTAGATTAGTTATGCTTTTATGAACCCCTTAGGTAACCTAAAAACGCCACTTGAAGTTTATTCTGAAGTTCATTTGCTTTTTATAACCTCCTTAAAGAATGATTTTACTTCATAAACACGTCCAAAACTAAGATAATCCTGAAACCCAATTTGCAAACAATTTTTAAGAAAACTTTTGGGGATTTTTGTTTTAATCTTTTACAAGTTGAAAATAAAAAAGATGAACGTATCCTAAATTGAGTTTTCTATAATCGGAAATTATAAGAACAGCTCTGTCCAGGTTGATTTTAAATCTAGCAGATTTTTAAAGCTGTATAAGAAAAATGCCACCAGAAATAGACGAGTTAAAAGTTTTCATAAGTTAAAACGTTAAAATAATAACCAAACTGTATTTTAAAGATCATGCAATGAAAACAAAATAGATTTAAGTGTTTCATAATTTTATTTCAAGCGGTTCCAGAAGCTCCAAGGTTTTGGAAGGGCCCGCTTCGCCGAATCGGACACTAACTTCAGCATGCCCGCACCTTTTGTGCAGAAAGCCGACCTACACGCACACGATGGAGCGATCAGATGCGGCGCAAAAAAATAAATAAAAAGAGACGCATCGAAGTGCTAACTGAGCTACAGTGGAAACCAACCAGATCAGCCTGGCTACGTCCTAGTGACAGGTTTCCTGTAATTATTCATCATCCCGCGCGCCTCGGTGCCATGCCTGCTGTTTGAAACAGCGATCATTCATTGATGAGCGCATCCAGGCAGCTCTGTGGCGCCAGACGTGTTAGAAATAATAAGTTGCCCACCTTCGCCGCTGCGCGCTCGTCCTGCAGTGCGCTTCTCCCAACAAGTCTGTCAGCGGTTGGATTCTCCATCCCCCGCAGAGGGAGAGTGATGTTCCCGCAGCGCGTCCTGCGCAGCCTGCCCCTCTCCACCTCTCTCTCCATCACCGCTTTGACTTTGCCTCGGGTCAGTTTTTCCTCCGACAGCTGCTCCTGGCTGCTCAGGTAGCCCAGGATCTCCTTTAAGCCCAGCGGCTTCACGTGGCCTCTGGTCGCGGCGGAGGAGCCCCCTGCTCCTCCTGCTCCTCCTCGGTGGCTTCTCTCGGACAGAGCCGTCAGTTTGTCGCGCAGCTCTGAGTTGGCGTGGCGGTGCGCTGCTTTGTTGCTCCCTCCTGTGAGTGGAAGTTTGGACTCGGTCTGCCTCTGGGTCTGAGCTCGGCTGTCGGAGCAAGTTTCAGCTCCGGACAGATCGGACTTCTTCCCCCCGTCCTCCTCAGTGTCTGCTCCGGGGCAGCCCCCCGCTCCCGGCCGTCCTAATCCCTCCTCTCTCGGTGCACTTGCTTTCTCCTCCTCGCAGCCGCTCCCGACAGCGCAGCTCGTTGTTGCGCCACCGCTGAAGCAGCAGGAAGGCTGCTGGAGCTTTTTGTTGCGGCTGCTGGTGGATGTTCCGCCGCGGGGATCCGGCGGCTCCTCCTCCGGGTCGGTGAAGCTGTGCGCGCTGTCGCCGTTGTTGTTCGGATGATCGGGTTTGTTCCGCGCCGCATCTGCGCCTCCGTCCAAGTCGCTCCTCTTTCTGCATTTCCTCTGCACCTTAGCCGCGTTTCGGTAGGAGATGGATCCCTTGTAGCTAACTTTGAGCACCGTCTGCTCCTGGATGAGTTTTTCCAGCTCCGTCCTGGTTCGGTTTGGGTCAGACCCGTAGCGCCTCCGAACCATTCGACAAATCCTTTCCAGATCCGGACGGGCTTTCCTCGAGCGGAGGGAGTCGATAGTTTCCAGGATCCACTCACGGTACTTGTTGGGCTCGGACATCTTCTCTCTGTGTGGGTGCGGACTGGAGTGCGTCTTCTGGTTTCACCGGTGACGCTATGTCAGAGCTGGGAAGTCAAAGTGCGGCGGTACCCCCCACCCCCACCCCCCTCTCTGACTGAAGAACCGAGGACAGGGCTACGGCAAGCCATTGGTGTACATACTCCATAATTCTGTAAATCAATTTTAATTTCTCATTAGATAAACATTTTCCTGATTTATCCAAAAATCACACTAAATAAGAACATATTTTCCAAACAGTGAGAGTAAAAGTCCAATTTGTTGGCTTTTTGACATCCATGCAATGGCGTAACTATCGGTAAGCAGAGACTACAGTTGCCTAGGGGCCCCTGACCTCTTAGGGGCCCCGTCACTGACACCTGGTAGGCCCCCTACGCAAATGTGGACTAGGACCTATTTTTGCAAATGTAATGGTGCAAAAAAATCCTCTTAAACCCACCTGATACTAGTCTGATTGACCGGACCTTATTTATACCCCAACACATTCCTGATTTTTACAGGATGGTGAGCCGTTTAAACGCGTCACCAATAGAAAAGCAGACAGTGGTGCTTTTCATTACTATGTTAATAGCTGTGTATAGTTCATTAGATGGTTGGTAAAAAAATACACTCATTTAATATGTTTTAAACTGCAATAAAGACCTTAAAAGAATGATGAATTTGAGTATTTTATTTTTTACACTATGACTTGGAATTATGGGTAACCCAGAGCGTAGATTAAAACCATATCCGTTACATACAATGTGTTAGCGACGATGGATACCAAAAAGAGGTACTTAGGCAGATTCCAGAAAACATAAAGGAAAAAAGAGCTGCTGGAAGAACAGAAAAAAACTTCCCAAAAATAGGTGGAAACACTTAAAAAACACTTTTGAAAGAGTTAAATTGTTAACTCTTTAAGGGTTGGAACATGTTCTTATTATTGTTACATTTATTTAACATTAGTGAACAAAAGTTAACAGTACACACGATATTGTTAACAACATGGTTTTTGGAAAATACAGCTAATGGGATAATTAATCTTACACTGTCTAAAGCGGAGGTCTTCAACAGGGGGTTCGCGACCCCTAGGGGGTCCACGGAGGTACTTGTTTGAAGGCCCTTGGTCTAAAGCATTGTAGCCACATCTGTCCTGGGTGTTAACAGATGTCCCCTGAACACCATTAACATTTCACCAATACGTTTCAGGTGTCCTGCCCAAGGAGACAAGTGAGCTGAGATCTGAACCAGCAACCCTTCAGTAGCTGGACAAACTTCTGCATGCTACATCACAACTTCAACAGCTACTAATGTTGTTAGTGCATGTGTTTTAAGAGATGAGTTCACAGGTAAGTTGGCACTCTTGGAGAAACTCCACTAATTATTTTCAGTTCAATACTAAACAGAGCTGCTTTTAAACCCTCCTTCAACAGAATAATTTAAGAAATAAATCTCATGAAACAGGCCCAGACCAAAATGGTGGTACCGATAACTTAATATTTTCATTCACACCTTTTAAAACAATCACTGTAATCAAACAATTCCTGTAACTATCAATGGAACTTCTGCTTCTCGCAGCAGGTATTTTGGCCCACTCCTCATGAGCAAACTACTCCAGTTTTCTCAGGTGCGAAGGGAGGTTTTTCCATGTTTCTTCTCCTACCAAAGACACTCAATAATATTTTGGTCAGGGCTCATAGGAGGCAATTTCAGAATAGTCCAATGTTTTCCTCTTAGCCATTCTTGGGTGTTTTTAGTGGTGTGTTTAGTCATTATCCTGTTGCAAGGCCTTGAACTGAGACCAAGCTTTCTGATATTTGCAAGCACATTTCTCTCTAGAATCTCTTGATAGTCTTGTGATCACATTGTACCCAGCATAGATTAAAGACTTCCTGTTCCAGATGAAGCAAAGCAGCCCCAGAACATAACAGAGCCTCCTCCATGTTTAACAGTAGGGACAGTGTTGTTTTCTTGACTTGTTTCATTTTCCGGTCTGTGAACATAGAGCTGATCACGTATGTCAGACTGAAGTTTCTAATCTGGACTAATTGGAAAGAAATTTCATTCTGAAAGAGCGAGATGGTGTCCGCTGATCTTACCGATTTCCCGAAATTTTTTTGGTTCCATGCATGCTTAAATTATTTAATCTGATCAAAATGTTGATACATGTATACACGCGTTATGATTGAATGATTCTATTAGTATCCATGTAAAAAGAGATTTTGAATTTCCAACTATCCAAACTTTAGAACAGATTGGGGAAATCTTGTGTTTGTAAATGTAGCTACTGATAAATTTAGCATTTGATCACCTAATGAACATTTCCTAGATTAAAGGACCCATGTCTCAATAGGAGCTTGGAAAACTCATTCATGCACACTGAATACTGCATCGATGTCTTTTTACATCTCTGCCCAAAAAGTGGATCAGACAGCTGCAGCTGTTCCAAGATGCTGCTCCCTGCATCTTCACCAAAAATATGTAAGTGAAGAGATTCACCCCAGTGCTAAAGTCCTGAAACTGGCTACCGGTGTCACAGAGAATAGATTTTAAAATCCTCCAGTCTATAACTCATTGAAATACATTACAGTCTTGTTGTCAGTGTATCAATCATCCAGACCTCTTAGGTCCTGTGACTCATGTCTACCCTACACAACCAGAACCCAACATGGAGAAGCACCATTTAGTTTGTATGTTCCACAAATTCAGAATAAACTCCGAGAAGACTGTACAAGTGCAGAAAATCTAGGATTCTTTAAATTTACAGTAAAGACATTTGTTTACATTGGCTAATTAGATTCAGCACTTTGAATTTTCCTGCTACTGAGAAGTGCTATATAAATAAACAAGCCTTGCCTCAAGATGTTCCTCTGGTATTTTTCAATGCAATCTGTTTGACACGATTCTCCCTTTCCCATAGCATTATGCTGCCATCCTCATACTTTACTGTTGTTATCAGGCGTCCTTTTCCTCTAAATATACATTATAGACATACACATTGATTTTACTTTCTTCAGACCATAATGTTTAAACAGACAAAGGTCTTTGTCAGGGTTCCCGTGTGTGTTAGTGGTAGTGATGCATCTCTTCTTGAGAGGATCTTGGTGGAAAACCTGGGTAGCCTACTCAGGTGGAGCTCATCAGGCTCATCGGGGTGCTGGGCTTTAAAGAGCAGCACAGCCTTCATTCAGTGCTGGTTTCTTGTTGTTGTTTTTTTGCTTCCTCATCTCTTTGCTCCTAATGTATGTTATCCCTGACATTTCTTACATTTTTTTTGGTTTTCAGTATTTGGTATTTTCCTGGAGGTCCTTATCAAATCTACAAAGCTAATCTTTGCCACCTCATCTCTGCATTTTGGTGCTCAAAAACCTCCACCCAATCTGACAGTCCTTTTCTCTGAGTTCCTATACAATGTATAATTTGGCTTTACTAGTTACTTTTGGAGGGATGATTTTCCTTTTGCTCAAAATTCAATTCAATTCAGTTTATTTCTATAGCGCCAATTCACAACACATATACCATAATTTTCAGACTATAAGCCACGACTTTTTCCCCATTTTTTGACCTTGCAGCTTATAGTCTGGTGCGGCTTGTATATGTACAAATCATGCAATTTAGCTTCTGTGGCTTATATTCAGGTGCGGCTAATAGTCTGAAAATTACGGTAATCTCAAGGTACTTTACAGTTCACTAGATCAGACAGTCAAATTGATTCAAATTTTTTCCATCTAAGGAAAACCAGTTGATTGCATCGACTCATTGACTCGAAGGCAATCTCTCACACTAAGCATGCTTGTAGTGACAGTGGAGAGGAATAACTCCCTTTTAACTGGAAGAAACCTCCAGCAGAACCAGACTAAGTGTGAGCGGCCATCTGCTGAGGCCGACTGGGGTTCAAGGAGACAGAAGCAGAGATACAAAAAGCAGCTGTAAAAGACGGCCCCATCCAGGAAACACACAGCCAGGCAGACGAGGTCCGAACCAACTCCCATGTCAGAGGATGAAGAGAGCACACCCAGCCAGTCACATTTAGAGAAACAGGACTACACTGGAAAACAGGCAGATCTCCAACATCTATAAATAAAGGTGTTGAAGGCAGCAGCACAGCTGATATTTCTCTTCAGGATGGCGTGACAGCCAAACTGGAACAGACGAGGCAAAACTACTATGAGAAAAAGCAGAGAGAACAGAACGTTAAAGTTTGAACTAACAGATTCTGCAGAATGGGAGAATAGAGATAGAATGAAGCAGAATAATTTAAAAACAATAAGGTGATAACTTGAGTCGTATTAAGATAGGGTTACAGTTTTCATCTGCTAAATGTTTTTTTCAAAACACATTAAAAAAAAAAATACTCAAATTTTTATGGCTGAATGTATCAGTTTTTCTTGAGTTTGAATTCGGATTTTATATAAAACTGTCATTTTAACTTAAATTAAGTCCAAAACATGTAAAATTCCTAAATTATAAATCTATATTGACCTAATAAGGCATAGAACTTTAATTAAACCTAATTGAATAGAAATTTCACTTCATGCAGCTATTGTAATGTATTTAAATCTCTTGCCCTGTTTTTTATTTCATGCTTTTCTGTACCCACAGGAAAAGATGCTGGGCCCCTCCTGGCCCCCTGGTACATTTGGTCCAGAACCACCACTGGGTGTGTCTTTGTGTAACTCACTCAGATACAAATTATCATCTGGTACTCCCTAAATAATTAAATGCATATTCAGTATACACATGCTTCTAACCTCTCTTAAGACTGGTTTTCATCTCCCTACTGTTGTAGTCTGACATATAGAAATTGTAAATAATTTTGGTTTGTATTATATATATAACAAGAGGTAGCTACTGATAATTTTTTAAGCCAGGGACATATGCAACAAAATAAAGACTTATTTTAAGATAAAGTCTGACTGCTGCTGTTGCAACTAGTAGATAAATATTAGGGGCGATGTCAATGATGTGAAATAATTACACAAACAGCTTGCCATACCCCAGCTGGTCGCCAGCGTTCGTTGGCCACCTTGTGCTTAAGGTGGACTGAAGATGGCGCCTCTGTCCAATAAAACAGATGCAA